TTATTAAAAATCGCTGTCTTAGGCCGGCCCACTGCCCAATTGAAACGTGCGGCGAGATCGATCGATCGTTACAACTCTCTGCGCGCCTAGTAACGATCGATCGATCTCGCCGCACGTATGAATTGGGCAGTGGACCGGCCTAAGACAGCGATTTTTAATAATTAATAACTCGTTAACTATTGCAAAACCTGCAAAGTGGTACAGGACTTTTCGACTTAGTCTAGTCCACTCTATCCCACAATAAGCGTTGATGCGGGTATTATATAACACCCTGTATATTCATCTTACGTTCGTGGAATATTCGACTGGCACTACTATAAATCTTTTTCAAATGTGAATAGAATAATTATCGAATATAGCGTGTCGGTTATGTACGGTACGATCGCAGGTGTCACTGCCTTTTGCATAAGATAAGTATATTACACAATAAACAGTGTGCAATACATAAATTCGATGAATATTAAAAAATTATTCTGAACGAATATTCCAAAGACATTCTCGAATATTCTAAAAACGTTTTTCTTTGTTATGAATATACGATTTCTGATTGTAATAGTCTATATATATTTGTAGAATATTCAATTGAAATATTCTGAAATTAAGAAGAATATTCATAGAACTATGTGTGCTCTCAGGGTGGTTGACTTTTAGAGAGTGGGACAGCACGAATGAGTTTTCTGAAACTTTACCATACATTTCACTAGTAAAATGTACACTAACAATAAGTATAACGACTGATGAAATGTATGGTAAAATTTCTAAAATCTCTCATACAATTCTTCGAAATGCCGCGTTGTCCCACGATTACATGATTTTCAGGGTAAATTTTGAAAGGGAATTCTCTCCGTGTAGATTTCTATTATCTTCCCTAATAATAATTTTATTTTGTGATGACTTGAATATTGCTGAGCAACCAATCAGTCATTTTTCTCAAGGGAAAAATAATTGTAATTAAGTCATTTAGTCGACATTAACCAGCCAGTGTCTTTTTAATACAAAAAATTTATTGCGAAAAATATTACCTCAGCCAGGGTTTGAACGTGGACCTCCCTACTCTCTATATAGGCGGGCGTCTCGAGAGTAGAGAAGTCCAGGCTCAAATCCCGGCTGAGGTAATATTTTTCGCAATAAATTTTCTGTATTGAAAAACACTGGCCGGTTAATGTCGACTAAAAAGCTTAATGATCGTTATCTGTTACTGGCAATTTAAAGAGGTCTCTACACTGAAAAAAATTTCTGGTTGAATATGGACGAATCAGATAATTCCTTTAGGATTTACCAGTAATCCTAGGATTTACCTGTAATCCTACAGAAATTCTGGTAAATCCTAAAGGAATTCTGGTAAATCCTAAAGGAATTATCTGATTCGTCCATATTCAACCAGAAATTTTTTTCAGTGTATGTTTGAAAGATAATTGTGATGAAAATCCATTCCGAGCATTTCCATGTTTCCCGAGATGATACCGTAAAGACAGAGAGCGATGAACGAGTAGGACCCACCGATAAAGTCGTGCTCCGGCACGTGGAACACGTATCTTCCGCTGTACGCGTAATTTTTCACGATCGCGATGAACTCCAAGCGATACGGGGATCCCTCGTACACGGCGCCGGAGAACGGGCACGACACGTACAGGTCTTTGGGCGCGGGGTGGCTGGCGTTTCCGTACAACTCCACGTGCCTGCACGCGTTCTCGTCGTCGTCGAGGATGTTTTGATAACGCGTAATCAACCCTGATTTACGCAAAGAGAACTTTAATGCACGGCAACGACAGATACTGGAAGCTTACTTCTATCAGGTGCGTTAATAAATGTCTCGATTGCGCCAGCGATGGTTTCCTTACTGTGAAAATTGATGTCCGAAATCGACAAATTGAACGCAGTCGCCTTTCCGTCTTCAAGGCTTTTCACGTACGCGTGCAACGTGAAAATTGCGGCGTCATTCCGCTTGGGTGGCTTGCCGGCATTTACAAATTTTAGCTTTGCGCAACCTGGAAAGTCGTGCGGTATTTAAAACGAATCTCCGGTATTCTCTCAAATTAGATTATCGTTTCCTACCTTCCCCCCGTCGTACCGATGTGAGTACACATTGGAAACCTGGTGTTGATACCAGGTGAGTCTAAAAAGATAAAGAAACAAATGTACTGTAGATAGAATCTTGCAGTCGTCTGCATATGATATTAATAATTAGTCAGCTCGAAATTAGTCAAGGCGAAAATAAAGATTATACCCGTCGAATGACGCAGAGCTAAATATAAGCTTTTGTTTCAGCTTCTATCGTCAATCACTTACATAATGCAAAAAGTAGTATTTTGTTACTTATCGATTCCTACTATCTGGTTGCTCACAATCACGCGTAAATTAATAATTGATGTCCGATGTTAATCATATCCGTATAAATAGCCATTTCCACGAAAAGTTACACGATTCGTTCAATTACTCGCGCGTTGTTTTTTAACCGCATAGTTTGATCAATTTGAAAATAGTTTTACCTTTGTGAAAATGTCACCGTTTACAGCAACCTTCCACACGGTCTCCACACGGAGGGAATTTTCTCTTAAAATTTACCCTGAAAATCATGCAATCGTGGGACAACATGGCACTTTAAAGAATTTTATGAGAGTTTTTTGAAATTTTGTCATACATTTTACTAGTAGAATGTAATACTCTCACACAGTTCTTTAAAATGCCACGTTGTCCCACGATTACATGATTTTCAGGGTAAATTTGAAAAGAAAGTTCTCTCCGTGTAGCATTTATTTTTGTGAACTTGGAGTTATGATTTTATTAAAAGTTTAATCTAATAAAAATTAAGTGACAAATTTAATTTTGCAGTTCATTTAGCTTCGAAATACTTAATTTGTGAAAAGACTTTTGAGAAAATGAAGTTTCTTAAATTTATTTATATTGTGATTGTATCGCTGAAGATGGCCTGGAAAATGAAGCCGAAACAAGTTTGATTTTATATTACATTTCTAATTAAAAATTAACTTATACTCGCAACTAACAACCGCGTTACTCTCATTGCTCTTTATTTAGTTCAAATCTTGCATTCCATTATTAAGAATTTTTTTAAGAAATTTTAATTTGTTTGTTAAAAGATTTTTTACATTTTTTAGGTTTTCATTCTTTCATAACTCGAAAAATATTGGCATCTCTTCAAGGAAAAATGTTCACTAAATTGAAGAAACCATTGTTCAAAGTATAAAAAGGAACACCCTGTATATAACATTGTTATATTGCACGTACAAAATGGTAACGTTGCTCCAAAGATAACATAACATCTGTACTGAAAATAATTCCAATTACAAAACGATAAAGGATTGTCTTCGAGCTAAGAAATTTTAAGTTGTTTGTTAAAAAACTTTTAATTTTTATTCTTTTACTCGAAAATTATTGGCATCTCTTCAAGGAAAAATCATCGCCAAATTGAAGAAACCATTGTTCAAAGTAAGAAAAGGAACACCCTGTATATAACATTGTTATATTCCACGTGCAAGTGATGCACTCCAAAGATAATACACTCTGAATTGAAAACAATTCCAATTACAAAACGATAAAGGATTATCTTCGAGCTAAGAAATTGTAAGTTTCTTTGTTAAAAGACTTTTAGTTTTTTATTCTTTTACTCGAAAATTACTGGCATCTCTTCAAGGAAAAATCATCGCCAGATTGAAGAAACCATTGTTCAAAGTAAGAAAAGGAACACCCTGTATATAACATTGTTATACACATATTCCACATGCAAAGTGATGCACGTTGCTCCAAAAAGA